ATCCATAGCTGATCAGCGACCCTTGCCCGTACAGAGTCTCAGCACTTCGGTTAGGTCAGCAACCTTAATTACCGCACCCTTCCACGGCCGTAAAGTGGGAGCTACCCTTTCGTAGCCAGTCTTCTGTCGCCGATTCTTCACAGCCAACAGTCATCCATCCCGAGCGGAAAGTGCAGCAGCTGAATTTGGGCTTTGTGGAGCCCTTACCCTGCTGTCTCACCGCATCCAGGATATATGCCTGAACTGCTTGCAGTTGCTGCAGAGACCATAGCAACTTGGGCTAATCGGTTGGCAGAAGTGCCACCCTATTTCCTTTGCCAGCGACCACCCGATTAGCTGTGTCCTTTGTGGCATCGGCAAAGTTCACCTTCGTCTTTGGAGACAATGGTCTCGTGTGGGCCCTTTTATGGGACGGTCCTGCCTTCCTTTTTGGGGAGTTGTGTGGAGCTTGAGAGTTAGTGGTATCAGAGCGATCCCTTTTCCCACAGCCACACAACAGTGACGCGAGCTCCTTTTTCCCCTTGGCCATTGGTAGCACCGCTAACCTCTTGGCCTCAGGCTCGCTGAAAATTTGTATCTTTTCTTGCCTGCTTTAGATAGCTTTTTAGCCGGAGTACTTGTTTCCCCCGGCTGGAACGCGAGCAGAAGTTCCTCATCGTCCGTTGGTATTTTGACGTCCTGGTCATTAGGCACCAAGTCCAAGTTGACCATCTCGACATCCAAAATCGTTTTGTCACTACTCTAGCCATTTGGGTTTGCGCCCTTTTCGTGTTTTGCAGTGAAGTTTTGTTTTGGCTCGCCACTTTGGACGTTTGGAGTTGAGTCCATCTCGTCCGCTGCAGCCGCCATTTGTTCGGCAAGTTCATTGGGCAGCGAGTGCTCCTTTGTGCTTGACGACTGCACTCCGCTATTAATGGAGGCAGAGTTATTTTAATTTTAATTTTTAGTTGTGTCTTCCATAAGGATCCCACGAGTAATGGGGGAAGAAAGAGGTCATCCGAGGCAGAGCCCCGGAACCCCGGAAAGGCTGGCTAAACCTAGACTGCGCCACGTGACTGGAGTACACTGTAAGAAGACATCACTAACGTAGTGCCATTCAGTCCGTAGGCACGGTCCGATTACGGGGGAGTGACTACAAAACTGATGAATCGGTAGCTATCAAGTAAACTCCGTCGATTACCGATCGACTAACTACTTGCCGTGTATTTCAGCGATAACTTTTACAAGGCAATGTACTGGGCGGTAGTCAGCATCGGCTCTCTCTCTGCACTACCAGGAGTTATTAAAGTAGTTATATGCGTTACTTAAGGACGCCTTAATTCTTTGTTTTTCACAATTCTGCTTCCGACTGGTTCGACTCTGCATTAACCATGCGCACCGCCACAGGTTAATCGAGTAGCTACATACCTAGGAGTCGCTGCAGTAGCGGTCCAAAAGTAGCGATTGACTCCAGCAGTACTGGAGGGTAGTGGCCATCTCTGAGTAAGAAATGGAAATCCTTCAATTCTGCTTCTCATAAGAATCCTTCCAGCCATTCGAAGTCGTCGTACAACTGTAGTGGCCTCCATCAAAGACAAACCTTTGGTTTTTTTTTAATTCATCGCACTATTAATGCTTTAGTCACTTTGCTGAAAAATTTTTATAAAATTACGATGAAAAAAAACGCATTTTTGCCGCCTCATTAGCCACATTTAATTAATAAAATAATTAATTTTTTAGAGACATGTAACTTTTAATACTTCAAAGCACATCAACTCCTCCATTTCGCATTAAATGGAAACTTGACTATCGCTAGGTAAGTATGTATGTACATATGTAGATATGCGGATACAGCCGGACAGATGGTTGGTTATCAGTCTGCCATCGAATCAACCGGCCAATGGCTATGACTACGAGTAGTTATTTAGTATGCAATGCTGATTACTGGAAAAAATGTCGACGACCATGGATACTCTGCGTCCTTGTATGTGTAAATGTGTGCCTGTGCGTTTTATTAAACAACCGCAACAACAAGTGACAAGCAATAATAATGACAATATTTGTATATGATAATGAGTACTCGTACATTTTCATAAAAGTTTAATGCAAAATACCCTTTTTATGAAAAAAAAGTGCACACAAACACGCACGTTTTTTTGGAGGGTTACTTTCAACTAACGCGCGAAAAGGCGTGTCAGCGTTGAAGTCGAGGAGGCTAAGTAGAGCGTCCATAATGAAATATGCGAAAATAATAATAATAATTAAAAAGGCTACACACATACGCATAAACGAGAAATATATTGTCACATTGACAGTTGGATAATCAAAATGTCGGAAAAAATGTTTACGAATGCTGTAAAATAAATATACGTATGTATGTACATAAGTCCTGGCTAGGGCTGCCAGATATCTCTGTTGCCAAACCGGGACACTTTAGGGAGAGCCTGTCGCTCCCTTCTTTTTCTTTTATAAATATATGAAAAAACATAAAAATAATTGTTAAACTTTGTGCTAAACTCGGGAAAATTCAATAAATTTGCATACAAATTTGCAACATTCTAATCAGACATTTTATAAACATTTTTAAAATGAAGTTTTGCAGCCCATTAAATTTTAGTTAATTTTTGGTATTGTTGTTACTGTGAGTTTCTTCCATACAAACTATGTTCGATAATTCTTTTTATATGGAAGACACTGTCAATAAATCAACGAAATTGCTAAAAATCAACGAAATTTGCCGGCAACTTCAGACTTGCACTTTATTAATTAGCTCAAAAGCTACATTTTCAAAATTTTTCTAAAAGATCTGATTAGAAATTGTGATCTGATGAAACAGCCTCCGAGCCAATAATTTCGTACGGCACTGTACTTATAAGTACTCTAGGTTTCATGAAAGAAAATTAAATACAAAGTAACATTAAAATATCAGTCATATTTTTCGTGGCTGTGAACTTGTTTCAAAATTTCTGTCTTTTCCTTAATATATTTAGGTACATATATTAATCATCAACTATTGCTTGTGCAAAGTTCAACTATATCGAAATGTAACTATTTCACAAATTAAACCGGTGCACTGAGAGAAAGAAGTTTAGAATTAAAAAAACGTGCTAAATTAAAACAAGTAAGAAAGTCTAAGTTCGGGCGGAGCCGAACATTAAATACCCGGCGCAAGTATTAAATATATGTTTTTCACCTTTCCGAAAGCTACCGCTAGATGGTAAGCCAGGGTGTATCAATTTTGAGTAAATTAGCGTCCTTAAATTTCGAAATATTGAAGTTTCAAGCATTTCTGAAATTTACCGTTATATGAAAAGCGGCCGTAATCTTAGTCCGATTTCAATAATTTTCAGCGTTTTGCTTCTATGTGGCAAGTACAATAACCAAACCGAGTTTGGTATAAATTGGTAGAACGGATACCGAGATATATATATATGATCATAAGTGGGCGGTGCCACGCCCATTTTCCAAAATTTTATCATAAACGTATTTCTTGGTAAAGAATTGTTGCAAGCATCAATTTTGACACTAGCTTCAATATTTACCGATTTATCGAAGATTTCGTATTTCTCTAAATTACCGTTATATGGGATGTGGGCGTGGTTATTGTCCGATTTTAAAAATTTTCGACCATTTCGTAGGCTATGTCAAGGCCAACAACTGTGCCAAGTTTGGAAGAAATTGGTCCAGCGGTTACCAAGATATACCCATGTAACCATAAGTGGGCGTGGCTACGCCCATTTTCCAAAAATTTATAATATTCTTATTTTTCGTCTAAAACTTACTGTAAATATCAATTTTGAGTTAATATTCTTCAGTAGTTACTAAAATATCGCAGTTTTCGTATTTCTGAAAATTACCGTTATATGGGAGGTAGGCGTGGTTATTGTCCGATTTTGCCCATTTTCAATACGATCCGTCCTACGGCAGAAAGAAGTGCACGTACCAAGTTTCGTTAAGATATTTCAATTTTTACTCGAGTTATCGTGTGCACAGACGGACGGACGGACGGACAGACAGTCACCGCTTAATCGATTTCTCTTTTCATTCTGATCATTTATGTATACATTTGTCTATATCTATCTCGATTCGTTTTGCCTGTTACAAACAACCGTTATGTGAACAAAGTTATAATACCCTTGTGCACAAGTGCGCTCGGGTATAAAAATACGCATATGAAAGAGCAACAACTCAACTCGTAATACATTTAAGTATACAAATTTTAGTATTTAATATAGAAATATTCAATTCAAATACCCCCATATTAAAATGAAGCGATTTGCAATTACCGACTGCTTTTTCATAATTAAGTTAAAAAAATATTTAAATTCCATGCTGGTTGTAATGAGAATTGAACCCTGACCCTCTGGAAATTAGCAAATTGTGGTAAGCATCATCGCGCACTCAGCTACAGCCAGACATGTAAATGTGCATTTAAATGTTGAGTTTGAATCAACACCACGCGTGCGTGTTATGAAAGTATTATTTTTAAATACGAACATTTTTGAACGATAATCACATAGAAAATATTCATGTTTACTATGCGTTATTTCCCTCAGTGAATTTACAACATTTCTCTGAATATTACAACGCGTTTTTTCTTTTAGTGTAGTGATTTTTGAACTTTTATTCAAATTTGTGCAATCAAATCAAAAACCGGGACATTAAAACGAAACCCGGGACATTTTAAGGTTGGACCGGGACACCGCGACAAATAGTCTAAAACCGGGACATGTCCGGGAAAACCGGGACGTCTGGCAGCCCTAGTCCTGGCCATTTGTGTATAAGTACGAATGTGGAGGTTTATGCGTGCTTGTGTGAACGTGTGCGCTCTGCAATGCAAATGGCGCGCGTTCGCGACTGAAGCACAGAAAAAAATGAATAAAATAATGAAATGTATTAATACGCATTTTTACAAAATACAACAAGTGATTAAAAAATAAAGAATTTATTTTTTACTTTGGTTGATTTTCATACGTATGTACATATATGTATATTTATGTGCATACATATATATGTATTATTGAACGCTGGTTGGTCGCCTGCCGAATGGGTGGGTTGGCGCTGGTGGCTTTATATAATATGTTTATACATATTTTACTCCCGACTCCAGCGTCCGTTGCTATGGCGAAATGATAATAATAATTAAAAAAATAGTAAAAACGAACATGTTTGGCATCTAAAAAAAGAAGCTTTTGAAATTCCGCAAATAATTGGCGGCTGTGGTGTTAGCGGCATAAGAAATCGTAGGTTTGGTGGTTGAATTTATATAAAATACTTTGTTGCCTGGGAAAACAAACAATAAGTATGATGTAACACATACACTCATGTCACTTAAAGGGTGAACTGATCAATCGGACACGATAAAGTACCGCGCATCCTTAGTTCGCTGGACTGACCTATCACCGGAAAACACTCATCACTAAAGCCTAAAGTGGAGAAATGATTATTTCCGAAGTAGGGATTATAAATTTCTGCCACTCAGAGTTTGGTTGGAAACTTTGAGTCGTAGATCTAGTCGCGCTAATGTGTTCGGTTGCCTTATAATATAAATCAGATGTTCCTTATTTCCATTTGGGAATGAAGTTACTGCACATAGAAGTGAAGTGTAAAGTGTTAGTGTAACCCAAAAAAAAGGAGGTCTGGGCTTAAGTCTAAGTCATAACTCTTCACTTTTTATCGAGTTCTAACACTTTACTAATCCTTTGGTCTGAAAATACTTTTAGTGAAGAGAAAAAAGCAGAATCAATGTATCTGAGTTGCGATTTTCTGAAAGCTGGACAGTGAAACTACAGTATGCCTTTGGTACCACCTTCGCCACATGCCATGCACATTCCAATCTTATTCTTAGCTTAAAAGTGGGAGATGGTGTGAGACAATACCTCGTTAGTACCCCATTTAGTATCTTGCAATCTAGCCTTGGGAGTGTCAAAATATATTTGTTGTGTCGTGCAAGATTTTGTCATTTACCCGAGGGATTGCGCCTTCTATTTCAATCTTTAGTTCTATCCTCAGCTCATTCAGTGATGCGTATGTTCCTGGCGGCTTGCGCAGTAGTGAGTTTGCTTCGATTTTGGATAGCATATCAGCAGGCGCATTCCCTTCAATTCATTTGTTTTGCGTCACCTCCCTAAATATTAACACAGAGTTCATCTATCCTATTCCTTCTTTGTCGAATACGAAGCGAGCCCTTATTACTGCCTTTCTGTCGGATGATTTGTCGCATCCTCCGAACATCTTGCCCGGAGTTTATTGCGGATTTCGCATTACTTACTTACAAAATATTTTGAATAAATAATTTTTTTTTTTGTACATGCAAACAACCTGGTCTTACCTCTCATTGGGTTACTTTGCTTATTTGGCTGTTCAAGAGCAAGCTTCAGAGAATAAACATCAGTTTCTACTCCTTAACTCATTCTAGATGCGTCCGTGAAAAAATAATAGGGAAACTAGCTGGAGAAACCGCATGGTCTGACTTATAGCTTAGCTCTCTTAGATGTCTGCGGTCAACTGACCACCAGGCCGTCTTTCAGATACAGGTTGCCACAGTTAAACATAGTGCTGTCAGTCTTTGCACAAATTCCAAACTTGTATCGTCTTTGGCGCCGCTCCTTTATCAAGACACCATTGAGCAATATAGATCTAATGATTGCTGTGTAGATCCAATGCCCCATTGGCGACCTTCCATACAATGCCTTTTTAATTCAAACCTCCAAGTCAATTTACTGATCATCGCTGCTAGAAATTTAGTAAATGGCTTAGCAGTTAGCGTCGTGATCTGGAGATAGAAAGGAGATCAGGTTGACATCTTACACTGTTTGGTAAAAAGTTCCAAGTCCTTCTCCCCTACATTTACTTCGAGCCCCATCTCTTTTGTCCAGTTGTGAATATATTTTAATGACTTCGCAAGTATTTCTGCTTTGCGCGGCATCCTCAAAATATTAGCAACCCAGTTAAAGTGGCAGGATTAACTGCGGCTAACTTCAGACCCTACAATGATAACACGGCTTTTAAGAGCTGCGGATATGTCAAGAAAAAACTACAATTACAATTACACCATAATGTAAAGCCGTTTTCAACTATGAACAGCTTATGAGACTTATAGACCAGGAGTTTCTGGGATATAAGTGGCTTCTTTTATGCTTTCATAATAACCATAAACAGTGCATAAAACAATAATGGCTTTACCCAAGGACACCCTGTAAATGTTCATATATGTGTGTATGTACATTAGGGTGCATCACCAAAAAGAGTTGCGGGTTTTCCACCGGAACCGTAAAATTTATTATACATATCTAGCCCTAACCGCCAAAAAGATGTAAGCGAATTTTTTTCCAAAATTCTTTTGATGTAGAAATGTTTCTAGAGCATCTAAATGCATTGCTGCATCAAAAATAAATAAATAAAATAAAAATTCACATACATATTTTTATCGATTAGGGCTCGATATATTAAGAATTCCGCCAAAATATGACGGAACAATATTCAGATATACGTGAGCCAAACCGATTTGAAAATACCTCCGAGAGTTTCACTATTTTTGAAACATTTTTATGCAGACCTTTCATACAAGCTTAAACTTTTCTATCATTTTAGATGATTTCTTAGAAAAAATATTTTTAAAAGCTACTTTTATTTATAAAAAATTGATTTTCAAATAGGTCCACCTCACGTCAATCTTAATATTTTTTTCCAATTAATTTGGCGGAAGTCTTGAAATATAATAAATTTTATATTTCAGAGAGAAAAACACTACGCATTATTTTTTTTTTGTATGAAGAGCGATGCACCCTAATGTACATACGTAAGGACACCAAAATTTTATTACTACTTTTTGCATATGTACTGCTATTTACTATACACACACAGATATCTGCAACTGAGTCCCGGGAAGTCTGTGTGGTTGTCGGGTGTCCATGTTGCAACATTGACAGGTCATGTTATGCAGATGACTGCGCTCACATACACACAGACGCATTTGTATACTTTCACATATGTATTCATGTATGATAAACATGTTCACATGTACAAAATTTCAGTTGGCTGGCAACCCCCACCCCACGCCGCGTGTATAATGCAGCAGCAGCAGCCGAAAAAAAAAATTTCTATAAAAAAATTAACAAAACAATCGAAGTGGAAAAAATTAAACAAACCAAAATGTCGCGACAACAGCAGAAAGGAGGGAAAAAATTACAGATTGCAACAACAAAAACCATCGCTGCCATTAAACGATAGGCAGTGGCGCACCGGCGGCCGATAGGCGGTGCGACGCGGTACGTGTCAATGCAGCGCGGTAATGCGCACGTAAATTGCTTTTTTATTAATTCAACAGCGATTGCAACAACAACAAATATGAAGAAGTGTTTTAATAAAAAGCACAAAAATGCATTGTAAATAACAACAACATAAACTCCGCACGCACACACTGCATTTGTGATGGCGTTGGCAGCGATGTTGGCGGCCGCTGCTAATTATGCACTTGTGGCAAGCGGTATGAGGCTTGTGGCATCATTCGACTCAATGAGCCATGTTGCGGCTGTGTATTGAACTGTTAGTGGGTGCTCTGTCGCATTGTTTTTGTTATCGCTTTTGAGCGCCTTTCGGCCTGCTAGCTTTTGTCTCTGTTGTTGGCAGCTGCCGCCACCGCACGCCCTCTACGTGCCGCTATAGCGGCTGGCCAGCTAGCTGACAGTTGGCGGCTGTCACTGCTGCAAGCCGCAGGACAATACGTTCATTTTTTCGTCGTTTCTTTTTCAGCGCCCTTTTTTTTTGTCTGACTCTGCTGTTATTTTCATGTTGCGGCGATAATGCTGCACCGCGTCGCACACCTTAATTGTCACTGCCGCAGCTACGTTGAGTATATTTTACATTTGCCACACATAATGAGATGTGATGATCAGCAAAATTATTCTTTAGCTGCGTTATGTTTGCCATTTATTGTTGCTTTTATTGTTTTTCAATAATGCACGGCATGCGATGGAATGCATATATGTATGTATGTATGTATGTACATGCATAAGCATGCTCACACGATATTTATGTGTATGGCTGCCTGCCTGTGTCACCAAGTGTTGCATGCAGCCATTTTTTATTATTCAGTTTCAAAAATGCAACGCCATCAGCAACACATTTCAAACGATTTTTGCTTTTCGTTCATTCATTCCCAATTCACCGCCAATTTGGTTTTTCATTAGGCACCAAAATTTTTTTCGGGCTTCCGTTTCCTTTTTCTATGCTCTGGCGAATTTATTTGGTCTCGCGCATGTCTGTGTGTGTGTCTACGCGTGTGTTGTTGTCGCGCGTTGCATGCTGACGATTTAGATATATACACCCGTTTTTTTCGTGCATTTTGAATTTTGTTGTTTTTTTCGTGGAAATGGATTTTTTCGGCTAAACTACAACAGCAAAAAAAAGGCGAATGAGATGAAAATTGCAAATCAACAGCAGCGGTCGGCGAAAAAGTTAACTGAAATGGATGTTTAGGCGCGCCGCTGTGGAAGATTTGGAATGAAAATAAAAGTGAGTAACGCCTCTATAATTGATAAGTGATGAATTGTGACACTGGTGTTGGGGGAGAAAAAAAAATGTGTAGTGAATTTTTCGTGCCATAAACTAGAGTGAATATGTATGTATGTAAATTGGACTGAAATGCAGTGCATAGGCATCTATAGCAGACAGAACTGTTAAGTAAAAAAAGTCTATATAAAGTACTAATCGTACCTTTGCTGCAGGTGTGTCATAGTTAAAAAAATCTCTCGAGAAAAACGGATTCAAAGTTTAGAGTCTACATACGCTTCCATGGTAAAAATGAAGACACATTTTCTTCTAAAGAGCTGTGAAATTTTTACACAACATAGAAGAGGGCGAATTAGGCTCTTCTGCATACTTAACACAAACCAATTTTTTTTATTTCTTGGTTTATGACACCCCTGCAGCAAAGGTACGATATACATGTACACATCGAGCCCTAACCGCCAAAAATACGTAAGCGAAACTTTTTTCAAAATTTTATTTTTAATGCAGAAATGCATCTAAATGCTCTAGGAACATTTCTGCATCAAAAGGAAAATTTAGAAAAAATGATTGCGTACGTCTCATTGGCGGTTAGGGCTCGATGTAGGT